TTAAATCTACTTCTGTTACCAGATTTAAAAACAGTCGGTAAATTACCCCAATTCCAGTGGTTCATTTAACCCAAGAGGATTAGTGAACGAAAACGCTATTTATGCTACCTTGCAACTGGCAGTTTTCTCCACTGAATCCATCACGACAAACACAACGAAAACCTTTACTGCTGAATCCAGCTTGACAGGTGCCATTGTTCAAACATGGACTGCTACTGCAGGAACTCTGTTGATAAAAAGGAAGTAACCTTTTTCCAACCTTTTTTTTTACATCAAGAATAAAACCACTTTAGCGCCAAAAAATAAACAACCTCCTCTGATCAATAACAAAATAAAGCTCTTGTAGCTTTCCCCTTAGACAAGAATCAAGAATGAGATCACTTTAACCTGAAATAAAAAGAATTCATGTGTCTGACTCCCCTCAGGTTGGTAAAAATGCGAAATTTTTACCTCAATTGCAAGATATATGAAGCCTGGTCACAAGAAGAAATGGAGCATGGTTTTCCTCGGTGGCGTTGTTCAACTCGCATTTTTGGTTTCCTCCTTCCACTGGTCCAACATTAATGGAAACGCAATTAGGCTCCATATAACACATCACTCTGCAGCTCCCCTCATTGGGCACTTCTGCTCTCCAGATCACACGATCCTTCATGGCCATGTTTTGCATTGGGTCCCTAAATATAATGTTCCGACAATCGTCACCTGGGGAAAGCAAAACAAATAGGATTACGTACTCGTCCATGCAGGTTATTGCTTACTCGTACAAAATTTCTTATTGTCAATTGCTAAAGAAACACATTAAAGCACGCTATTTTGCCAATTTACTGCATGAAAACCTTTATTAAAGAGTTTTCTCTGAAGGATATTTTCATCTTTTTATACTTCAATTCAAACGGGAGGTTTTAGTTATTAATATAGATGAGCATATGACCATATAGATGAGCTAACCAGCGTAAAGGATGTATGTTACGGAAAATATCCCAAAAATTATAATTTTCATGGCGTTAATTACCATGAAATTAATTGAGGGCTTTTTTAAAGGAAAGCTGTATCCAATAACCTCTGTATATGTGCATAAAAGGAGACATTTTAAGTGAGATAAATAGGTATTTGCTTAAAGATTGTTAACATTGTTCGCTGGTGGCCTAGCTCTTCTAATGGATTCGAGGAAGCAGCGCCAGAAAAATGAAACCTAAAAAATTTAATAATAATGTAGTTATACTCACCAGTGCAACAAAAACACGGTGGAAGGGTTATTCCAAGAAGAATATAGATATTGCCAATGATAGCTTCAAGGAAACCCTTGAATTGCATTGCCATAAATTAAAAATTATAACTCCAAAGTAAGAATCATGATCGTGACCATTGAAAGTCGTCGCAAATTATAAAACTTCCTGTTTTTCTATAAATTCAGATGCTAATAAAGGTCATGCAATTGTTCAGAATCTATCTCTCAGGAATTCGTCGCGCCCGTAATCGCGAAATTTCGATAACAAATACTTTGTTTTAGTTGTATTATTGGAAGTATCGACGCCGTTCTGCTGATGGGTTTATTCATTCCCTCTCTTTGGAAAGGTAATCATTATGGGAATTTCTCCTTAGTATAAATAAAGATTCATTCACGAAGGTGAGTCAACCGCTGTAAAAGGCAGAAAAAGAGGAACATAGCGGATTCTCAGCATACAATGAGCCACTTTCGTAATTTTTGTTTCTTCTACCCTGTCATTTTTATCATTTAATAAGCCATTATATTTTATAAAGCATCGGTAGAGACGAAAACAGAACACATCACGCTAATGACCAGAGTTAAATTGTGAATGCTTTTTAGCTTAAACTTGTTTGTCTTTTAACTCACTGCAACAGATTCAAGTGTAATTTATTTGTGCATAATATCCATAAGTCGCTCACAAATATTTTTCTTACCTTCCGGCTGACAAAATGTTTGTCGTACTCGATACTGTGTTCGGATGTGTCAGGAGTGAAAATCGTGTTTTGTTACCCTTCAGATAAGTGTTGAAAGTACTGTAACTATGGTTACAAAACAGAACGGTTTAATGAGTGGTGCAGAACATAAACGCCTCAGGCCTTCTTCCTGTTCAGCTGTTCTACTTATTTTCAGTCATCGGATCATTGCTTTTCTGTTAACTGCGGGTGGTTGGTTTTCTCTAAGTAACATCGGACAAGTATAATAGTCAATGAAATACCTCTATAAAAGACCGGGAGGATTTTTGAAAAAGTCAG